TTGAGACAGCATGTAGGAGGGAAAGCAACTAGTTGTTTACATCCCTACCCCATGGATGGGAGAGGCAAGTGGGGAGCCAGCAGCCTGCGGGGCCAGAAGCGGGAGTGCCTGCTACCTGCAGCAGGGATCCACCCTGCTCTCCGCACTCACCAGCAGGGGAGGTGGCAAGGGAAGTGGCACAACAGTGGGGAGGGAGTGAAGCAGGGGCAAGAAGAGGCAAGGTTTGTCCTGGCTTCCCTGGCCTGAGAGGTGCTGTCATGTGGCCCTTAAACCAGTCACCCCAAAGGAAGGAGTGATTGAAGCATAGCAACTAACCCCTGGGTCTCCCTGAGCAGATGTCCCACAACCCAGGCTACAGTCCTTTGCTGCCTCTCTGCTCAAATCACACTTTCACTGTTTATCTATCATGATCCGCTCCAACAGGAGCACTGAGGCTATGTCTACACTGCAGGGTTTTTCCACAAGAAGCTTTTTTCAGAAGAAATCTTCCGCAAAAACTTCTTGCGCAAAAGCGTATCCACACCTCAAAAGCAATGTGCTTTTATGCAAGAGCGTGTCCACACTGAATGGACACTCTTGCGCAAGAAAGCCCTCTCTTCTGCTGTTTTACTGTAAATTTTTTTGTGCAAAAACACGCTTGAGATGTGGATGCTCTGCAGGTTTTTCAAAGTAGGAATAAGAGATCTCCGGAAAAGGGCTTTTTTCTGGAGGATCGGGGCCAGTGTAGACGCTCTTTTCCAGCTTTTCTAAAAGCCGGAAAAAAGCGGCGGATATTTTTATTTAAATGCCGCGGGGGATATTTAAATCCCCCACGGATTTCCCTATTACGACCTGTCAAATTAGCATGCCCCTTTCGGAAAAGGGGCCAGTGTAGACGTAGCCAATGAGTTTAGGGGCATAAAACAGCATTCAGCGGGAGTTTGTGGGTCACACGTGAGCCCAAAATTATGTCTTAGATGTTTAAAGCCCTTGGAGTCCCAGCCTTCCTAAGGTAATGGCTATTGCCAGCATTAACACGTTAGCTTGGCAAAGCCTACATTATTTATTTGACTTTGCTTTACTTCAATTAGTAAGTGCAGCTAACAGTGACACTACAGTAGAATTTATATCAACACTGAATGATACACTACTTCAGACTAATGGGCCATAAACTTATGCATTCATCTACCCTCTGCTTTCTTCTAAGATTAGTTTATACATTAAACATAAAATGATCCTTGGAAAGAAACTCTTAAACAGGCACCAACCTATTCTAGAAAGGACAGCCTATTGCTAGCTTAAACTTCTTGTACACTGGGAAGTAGGTCCTCAGCTTAGTGGTGAAGAGCCATGGAGGAGAAGTCAATGATACTTTAACTGAAAAAGCAACTTTTTGGCTTCCAAGTTAGCAATACTGCAAACTCATCCTAGAATCTGAGTGACATTATAGTTTCTAATTCATCCATCAGCACACAGCAACCTATAGGAATTTAGGTCAAATCTAGTGATGCTGCATAAGTCACAAGATAAATAAGTTTCCCTCATGCAAAAGGAAGTGCTTTTTTTACTCTTCACATAGTTAACTGATGGACCTTATACCAGGGGATGTTGTGAAATCCCAAAATATAATGGGTTCAAAAGAATGAGAAGTTCATGGATTCTGGCTGCCCCTAAATCTGTGATTGCCAGAAGCTGGGAGGGAAGAGAGAAGGCAGCAATTATTGTCTGTTCTATTTCTCTGCAAGCAGTGGCCCTTAAAGCAAGCAGAATACAATCACTGGATGGATCATTTCAGGCGGTATGGCCATTCTTGGGTTGTCCTGGTGGTGGAATCCATGAGTGCTAATGGAATTGGGGTGGAGGTGAGTAAGTGAAGAAGAAAAGCATTTGTCTATAAAATTGTGGAATGATACACGGTCAGTGTAACACATGCTATTTCCCTTTAAGCAGATCATGCTACTTTCCCAACTCATTGGCTGCTACAATCCAAGAGCAACCTGTCCAGTGGAGCCAATGGCATGCAACTGCTCCTGCGAGCTGCTGAGTTTGCTCTAGATGTAGTCAATGAGGACTGGTTTTGGATCATTTGAACCTACAAAGACCCACCGAGACATTTTGAACAGTAGGAAAAGGCCAAGATCATTAATGGACTAAATTGTGATGAAGGCTGGTTGGGGCACTACCAATTTAACAGCCAATGAAAGTGCAAACAGCTCTTTGTGTAGACTCCTATGTCAGGAAGGATACTATCAACTGACTGATTATCTCCTTCATTTTTACTATCCAGTTTTCAGATACTTACTGAATCCCTCTAGCTCCCTGTCTCTCACCTCCCCCTTCCTATTTATTTTGGGTCTGCACATCCTAAATTCATAACTCCAGTCATCTGCAGAAGTGGGTTGTGCCCATAAAAAGCTCATGATACCATCTACATGTTTTGTTAGTCTATAAAGTGCTACCAGACCATTTTTTGATCCCCCCCCCCCAGTACAGACTCTGCTACCCCCTGAAGGATCAATGCAGTTTGGGGGTTGGTTTTTTGGCTGTAGCTGTGATTGAGAGAATGCAGAAGCCTACCTTTCTATTGGGCCCATGCTCGGTCCCCCTCCACAGCATGTTTCGATACACACAGCCCTGCCCACTGGTCCCAGAATCTCCAAAACCACCAATTTCTGTCAAGGTGTATCTTAAGAAAAGGCTGGTTTAGGATGTTTATCAAGTTCTCTCTCTCTCTTTCTCAAAATCCTCCCCCTTTCAGTTCAACAACTTCAGTGGTGGAGGGAAGACATTGAATATGCAACCTTCACATGCCGAGCAGTAAGTCAAAATGAAACATGTTTTAAAACCACAACTAAGTTTATTAGTCTCCATCTTTCCTTTTTAAATTACAAGTAGAATCAAGTTAGTTTTCAGTATCTTAGAGTAATATAAAATACATTAAAAAAATTAGTAAAATCTTTACACATCAGGTATATAAAATTAGGGATAGAGAAATAGAACAGACAGGAGAAGGCAGAATTTAGTACTTTTTTGATTGGATAGGTTTTTGTGAAAGCTTCAAGCTTCTTTTTCGTGTAGTCCAGTATTTTACTCAGCCACACGAGCCAGGTTTAGAGTGGTGCAGACACTGCTCTATCGATTGGTGTTCACCCAATGATAACGATCCACACGAGGTCCAGCAAAAGCAATTGAGGGCCAGTAGCATTTGAAGCCCTTGTGCTGGGGATAGTAAGCACTTGCCTGATGAAATCCATTGGTTGTATAGGTCTTCTTGCGAGGATACCAAGACCATGGCTGGAGGGGCAGCTTGCAGTAGTCTCCAAACTAAACACAGGAATAGATTAGAGACTTGTGTTAGGCTTGGCCTCCAGGTCCGTCTCAAACATTATGGACAGCATAGAGATAGAGTCACTGCTCATCCTTACACTTTGTTGCTCTGGGATGACAGGAGGATCGAGAGAAATACAGGAGGCCTACCACTGCATCCTACAAGTTATAGGCCAGACATTGCCGTTTCCTCCTTTACAGCAGGAAAGAAGGATAAGACACAACCAGCATCTTACCTGGTACACACTATTTGGGTTGCTGACCGTAGGGATAGCTTTAGCTTCCTTGGTATAACTCTCCTCATCTGAGGAGGTGCCAGAATAATAATCTGAAGTCACTTTGTCAACAGCTTCGCTGATGCGCTGAGAGATCTCTCGGTCCTCCTCAGCACCGTCAAAGTGAACAACTGTGAAAGGCAGATTCTTCTCACCATACCTATATTGAGGGGAGGCGTTCTATTTCAGTTTATAGCATAATTCAGCTCTGACGGCCCATTGCTATCTACTCACATCTATGACATCCTTATGTTAGAACCCCAGATTTTAATGCTCTGCTAGTACATCTTTCCCATGAATAGTTAGAGGCTACGGTTGCATGTTTGTGCATTAACAAGATATTAGTTCAGGAGGGTCTGCTGTATTTCAGACAGAAGGAACACCTCTTGCAGGTAAAGTTGCTAACGAGTTCTACAAGTTTCAGTTTGAGCTAGGAGCCAGCACCAGTCCTTAGACGGGTTAGAAGGATGCACTTTCTAATCAAGTTGGATTAGTTATTGGATTATGAGAAAATCCACAGCTCCTAAACATCGTATGCTTTCTTGCCAATACATTTTTAGAACCAAGTCCATACTCGTTCTGTGGAATGCCCTGGAGGCAGTGGACAACAAGGAGATAGGTGACGATTACACAACTTAAGTTCAGACCTCACCTGCAGCACACATCAAATGGGTCAACCCATATGGTGATCTCTTTTGGCAAGCCAAGCTTATCAAAATCCACATGACTCTCAGAACAAGCTTTTTCCAGTACAGGGTCTCTTGTCTGATATTTGTTTATCCGTATACACCTAAAGAGTAATTCGGGAGTAGTATTACATCACAGGGCTTGCATTCACTGCAGTTAACTCAAATCCTATGTGCCTATTAAAACCCTAAGATCAAGCGTAATGGTATTTTTAAATTGAGTTTATCTGGCTAACTCTGGGGATAGCACAAGTCAGTTACCAGCACACATATTTTCGCTCATTTGTTTATTCTGCAATGTAGCCATTTCCACACCCACAGAGATTAACTTGAGCTAATGCTACAGTGAGAACCAGCCCTCAGTCATGGATGTGTACTTATCAAGAAATCATTCACTTCCTTAAGTGTGCAACCAGCCTGCATTACCACATCTGCTCTGTTCCATGGAGATTCATTCCTCCTATAAAGCTTAGCCAGAACAAAGAGTTCTTAGTTAACCCTCTTCGGTTCATTGCATTTTCCAACATTCGCCTCATCCTGTAACTATTCCTGGAATACCTATTTATTCACATGGATGTTCCCAGAGCCTTACACTCTGTTTATTTCAAGACATCAACCCCCTTTTACCAAAAGCACTGGGCCAAGTCTGTTACCTGAAGGCTTGTCCCCTAGATGGATTATCTAGGTACCAGTGGTTCTTATACTTTTCAAACAGTATTGTCGTCAACTTAGCTGCAAATTTCTCAGTTTTGTGCTTGCTCAGTTTGTCTTGCTTCCTCACCAGCCTTGTGATGAAGAAGACAGTGGCAGCGATTTCGTCTTTCATTTTCTTTTTAATCTGGACTGCTAGAGGATGTGCTAGTTATTAGACCATCTCTGCAGAGAGAGAGAAAGAAAATAATGCTGAAGAAACTAGCTAACATTAGTGCATTAATTATATTTCATAAGGGCAAAGAGTGGAGAACCTAGACAAACCGTGCTAAAGAGCCCTTAGAAATCCTGGAGAGACCAGAAGAGTGTGCGTTTATTGAAGTGGTTTGTCCCACAAGATTCAAATATTAAGTAACAGCATGACTCAATTAATAGGCTGATTAAGACAAAGATACCTGATCAATTGCAGCCTTGTCAAGCCTAGGTGTTCAAAGCAAAATTCATGATACTTAAGTATTGAGATTTTTAAGAAAATGGGATTTTGATATTTTGGGGGTATACTAAGGTAGCTTTTCAAGCTTCTCTGCAGCTATGCTAGTTAAAAGCTTTTTAAAAAAGATGCAAGAGTTGTTACAATTCCAGCAGCTGGATTTTCAAACAAGTCTCCGAATATCAGAACTCATGAGAGAGTCACAAGTTGTCACCACTATAATTAGTGGTGTGAATTACTAATGAAGGATTTTAGCTAGACTACAGTTCTCAGTCTGGCTGGAGCAGCTGACTAGAAAAACCTTTACTCCAAGAATGAGCATTATTTCAACATGCTTATTAACACAAACAGTAGACTACAGGCGAGTTGGTTCTGAAATAATTTAGTCCTACCTAATAAAATTGCTCCTGTTTACAGAGATGTTGCCTAGTTACAGATGTTAACTCACATTACTCATCAGTGTATTAAGCACAGTAGAAGACAGATTAGAGAAATAGAAAGCAAGCCAGTATTCCACCCAGCGTTGGCATGCTAGAGACCAGAATAAGCATCATATATTCATTCTAGTACTTCATTAGCCCTTAGCCTACAGAGACAATGTGCTACTGAAGTCCTTGTCCATGCCACAGAACAGTAAATATTACCTTTAAAATAGACCTTGTCAGGTAGAGCAGATGAAATCCCAGCTACTTTAAAACTCAGACACACTTTAAGAGCAATAAACAACTCAAAACACAAGCATGTTGCCTTTGCAAACCATATACTCAGAAGCTACCCCCACACGTCAACTCCTGCCACTAACTACTCTTACAACCAACAGTGTTTTCTCTACAAAGTGTCTGCTTCAGGTATATATAAAAATAGAAGTCAACTGGCTGTTAAGAGCTTAACAACTGAACAGGTGTCATCCATTATGCTGAATTCAACTTGCTTTTTCCAAGGCTGTGATACTCTCTGGTTACTTTTTCCAGGCCTGGAGGAAGCTCGGTGTAACTTCTTAAGTTGTTTCTTCTACCAATAGCAGCTAATCCAATAAAAGATATTGTGTCTTCCCCTTGATCTCTGTCATATTTTGGGACCAAAGCAGCTACAACACTACAAACACTCAAGACTACTGTCAATTTATCTGCTTTCAACCCACACTAGGCTTCCTTTCTGAAGAACATTGTGATTAATTCAGTATTTTCTTCAGTCATGTTTATCTATGTGACACCCAGAACTTTTAGTATCTGTGAGGAATATACGTAATCAAGAGCAGCAATACCAGACTCAATAATTAATCATGAATGTTGTTCTCTATAGCAGCTAGCACAGAATTGAAACAAGCTAGTTATTTTCCCTGTGCAACCCTCAAATTAGTCATGTCTTTGAAAAGTGTATTATTTTGCATTTATCATTAACAATAATGCATCATTCATTTCTATCAATATGTATATTTTGTGTTACTTACAATAACTGATATTTTCTGAAACACTTTTATAAAGAATAAAGAAGCACTCTAGAGATTAATTTTTAAAGGGGTTAGAAGAAGGCACTTTCTCAAAAGCAAGTCTTTCATTATTTAGGAGTTTGTATCATTACTTGCCAGTGGCACATGGGGAAGGAAGTCTGTTTATCTGTTTGGGACCTACTGTCATCTCTATGCTGTGCATTGCCCCTATCAAATAGCTAAAAAGGAAAGATTAAGGTAAAATCAGATTTGTATCCACATGGCATTTCCCTTGCTAGAAACAATTTAAAATAATGAAGGAACCTAGGGTCCCGACCATGCAAAGACCTATGCACTGCCAAACCTCTCACACAAGTGGTCTCATAGACATGAATGGGGTTTCAGGAATTTGAAGTGAAACATATTTCCTACCCTTTGCAGGACAGGCGTCTAAATCTCCATTTTAAGCATGGCTTTGTATTTGTGGATTTCTTTTGCCATCCACAAATAACTCCTTGTTTGAAAGCAGTGGCCTCTTCTACCACTTAAAAGGGCAGTATTTTCCATTTAAATTCCTGTCTTAAAGAGATATCAGTAGATAAGGGGAAGATAAGCCTCCACTGATATATCACTTTTCAGCCAGACTGATCATTCACTTAATGACCTTAAAACATGCATATTGCTTCAAAGAGACTTTAACTCCAGACTTCAATGAGAAGCTTCAGAATTGTCATTCATGCTTAAATTTGACACTTTATGTATGGGTTTAAACAAAGACTCTAATTATCTCACCCATTACAAAGATAGCTTCCCCAATTATCACCCCTAATGTCACTACCTCACAGAAACTTACCTTCCCCCCTCACTCCAACTCTGTTCTAAGCAAGGAAGGCTATGTCTACACTCACGGCTTCTTGCACAAGAACAGCCATTCTTCCGCAGAGCATCCACACTGCCCACCTGCTCTTGCGCAAGAAAATGTACAGTAAGGCATGGTAAAAGAGAGCTTCTTGCGCAAGAGCTATGCTCTTTCCTGACAGGTATAAGCTCTCTTGCACAAGAGGGCAGTGGGGATGCACAGCAGGGATTTCTTGTGCAAGAAACCCCTATGGCTAAAATAGCCATCAGAGGTTTCTTGCGCAAGAGAGCATCCACACTGCCAAGGATGTTCTTGCACAAAAGCACATCTCCCGCATGGCAGTGTGGACATTTTCTTGTGCAAGAGTTCTTGCACTAGAACCCTTGCTCAAGATGTTCTTGCGCAAGAAGCCACCAGTGTAGACATAGCTTAAGAGTTTCCTCCCATGAGCAGAATGAATTTTGTGTTGTGCACCAGTACTGAGTTCATGTGGCTGGTTTGGATGTGCCACTGTGACACTCAAGTTATTAATAAATATCTCATAAACCTTTACCTTTTCTCTCTGCTGCCACATCTCCTCCCCTTGCTCCATCAGCTCCCCTGGTGCCTGCTGACCCCCCAACTCCTCACCCTCCTCTGCTGTGCTGACTCCTGCCCTTCTCACTGCCCTCAGCCCTCCTACCCCCCTCCACCAGCCCTTCTCTCCCCCCGTGCCCACTCCTCCTGTAGCCCCACTCTGATCATGTGAGCTACCCCTCCTCATCCCCTCTTCTAACACCTCCCTCTACACACCGGCCCTGCCTCTCTCCTCTGGTGCTGGTCCCTCCCCTGCAGGTGTCTGCCCTTCTGCTTCACCCCCAGAATCTCCTGGCACCTGCAACTTCCCTTACCCCTGCACCCTCCTGGTGCCTTCCCCTTCCCTTACTGCCCCTGCCTCCTTTTTCCCTGATGCCACCCCCTCACCACTCTCTGCCCCCATTCCCCTCATGCCCCTCTGTGCCCTCACACGACTTGCTCCATCTCCACCTTCCTCATGCCCACCCCTTCTTTCAAGCCTTCTCCCAGCACTTCCCTCTCTAGCCCCCAGTGCCCTTAAGAGCTTCTTATCTCTTTCCATCTAAATCATTATTCTTCCTGCCAGTCCCCAATTCTTCTAGTCATTTTGCAAAAACATGTCTTTCTCGTTATTTGCCGGATCAAGGGAAAAGCTATAGGGAAAAAAATCCACTGATCTTTGGTTGTTTTGCAAAACACAGTGAATGTATACCTCAGGTGAGTCATCTGGTTTTCATTCTGGCATTATATAATGTTTAACTTAGAATCACAGAGCTGGAAGAGACCTCAGGAGGTCATAGTGGCGCAACGCGGCACCGAGCAGTTTTAAAGTCCCAGGCCATGACGTCATGTCACACCCGGGCGTCTCGCTGCACACGCCAGCAAGGGGGAGCTGCACTGAAAGCTGCGCATGGCAGGGACGGTCCGGGGTTGGGGAGGACACTCTGGGGCCGGGGTGGGAGAACGCATGGGGGGGCCGGCAGGTGGGGGCCAGGGACTGCTCCAAGCAGAGCCGGGAGAGAGACCCAGCTCCAAATATTACTGGAGCAGGGCCCCCACCGACTCTGGTGCTTACCGTCCGTCCTGGCAGAGTAGTGCCCCAGAATAGTGGTGCCCTACGCAGCTGCATACTCTGTGTATGCCTAAGGACGGCCCTGCACAGATGGTATGGCCTAAGGACTAGCGCACTAGCATATGACTCAGGTTGGCTAGGTTCTACTCCTGGCTGTGTGACTGCCCCTTGAGCAGCTCACTTCATGTGTCTATGCCTTACTTTCTCCATCTTTAAAATGGGGAGAATTATATTGACCTACTTCATGAAGCTCTTTGACACCTACACATGGGAAGTATTACGTAAAAGCAGGGTATTATTATCCCTGCTTTATGGATGGAGAAACATAAAGCACAGGGAAGGCAAATGAGTCTTCAGAAAGTCAGCTATCAAGCCAAGATTTGAACCTACATCTTTCCTTGCATGCGTGAGTGTTTTATTCACAGCCCTCCTTCCCGGCCAGTGTTCTGTAATGCAGAGTCTAATCTTGAGTCATTCTTTCTCCTTTCTTGAGGATGATGCTTGACTGCAGGAAACAAAATGTATTATCATATAGATTTTCCCTAATTCACTACAGGGCTTAACCGGAGTCTGTTAGTTTCTCGTTGTGGAATCTGCAGAGAATTTAACTTTCAGTGAACCCATGCCTCATGGCACGTTACACACCAAAATGTGCACTGTGGGTGTAATATGACATTCACAAACAGGAACCATTAGGCACAATTGTCTGTGGCAAACTGGACATTGAGGTTTGAGGCCTGAATTGCATCCTAAAGATTAAAAATAGCTTTAAAGAGGGAGATTTTAGTGGGTAGCTTTCTGGGCTGAATGCCTCAGACAAAAATTGCAGCTACATCAGTTTCTCTTTCTTTTTAAATAGCTGCTGTGTGAAGGTTCCAAATAGAGGGCATCTTTTAATTGCATTAATTTTGCTGAAAATGACTGAAAAAACAGGCAGACGGAGAACCATAATTATTTCCAGAGATGACAAGTTTTGGCACCTTGAGGCAATTACAAATAGTGGTTAAACTTTGGAGGAAGTTACCATTCCAGAAATGGTACTTCTTTTTAATGTTATGGGTGAATCTGGTAGTAATGCAACTAAGACTGATAATACAAGCTAGTGCCAAACCTATACAAACTCACACCGGTTCCCCAGTACCCCTTGATATTGATTGTTGGCCATTCAGGGTGTGGTCAACCTCGTTATGGCATGTAGGGAGTGAAATTGCTTACAGCCCTGAGTGACATAGCCAGGTCAATCTA